AATGGCTAACAGATATTGCTATAAAGAATAGTCCATGATGATTATTGTTATTAAAGAGTTCATGGAATGTACACTGATTCTGTCAGTTGAATGGACTAGAATGAGATGAGTTATATAAACATAAAGGTTTTTTCAACAGTTGTGGTGTAAATTAAATCAGTTTTATTTTATGGTTGACATATTTAAGTATATATGAAGATCATTGGCTTTTCAACACATTGATATTTAACAATATCGATTATCTATTTATTGTTATATTGTTGGTATTTTTTACCTTCCTAAAACAGTTTTAACGCAACATGAACGCAAGCTTAATAGGGTGTCCTCACATATTTTGACGTTGCTGAAAAATTTTGGTTGACATATGTATCCTCTTCTCATCGTTTTTTGTGCTATTAAGAATGCATACTGTCGTCACAATTTCCATTGAAAAGGCATGCATAGTACAAATTCATAAGACGTACGAAAACATATGATCTGACCATATACATGTACATGTATGTATAGGTTATCAGCTTTTCTACACATATTAGCCAGTAAGCCGCAATGGACCTATTATGGCGAGTGAGCGCAGCTAATGAGCTAAAATGAATCAAATTGTGTCCTCAGTGGGGGATATTTTAAGGGATCTATATGAAGAAAACCTGATAATCTGTTTATCGTTCTATTACTGGCTTTTTCACCTCCCTAACTTGGCCTAAGACAGTTTTTACAGACGAAAGCAAGCTTGATCACTACTCCTCACACACATGTATAGATTATCGGCTTTTCTACACGAGTCATGAATATTGTAAAATGTTAGCCAGTGAGCCCAGCTAATGAGCTAAAATGAATCAAATTGTGTACTCAGTCACAGTTGGTGATATTTTAAGGTATCTACACAAAGAAAACCTGCTTATATAAATCTCAGTGGCAGATCCACAACTTTTCATAAAAGGGGGTGGCTGCTGACTGACCTAAGGGTTGCCCACTCCCGTCATGCTTCCCCAGTGGCGGATCCGGGGGGACAGTTCCGAGGGTTGGAACCCCCCCCCCCCCCCCGAGTTTGGAACTCCCCTTTTATAAAATGGCTGGATCCGCCCCTGCTTCCCTATAAAATCAACCAAATTTTCCCCACCCCCTGGATCCGTCTATGTAACTGTTTATCGTTCTGCGTAATACTGGCTTTTTCACCTCCCTTACTTGGGAGCGTCTTTTTACCACAGAATACCACAGAACACCCAAAATTTACCACAAAACTTCGAAATAATAATACATCAGACATTATTTTCGTGTTATTGTTAATTTTCTCAATAATTTGACATTTATTTTTCAATTAAAATTTATATTTTTTCTATTTAATCAGAGACATATATACATGTGTATATATGTTTCTGATTTAATTTAAGAATAAAATTTTTATGATAATAAAAATTCAAGATTAAAATGTGAACCGATGATCACCATCATTTTAGTTGGAAATTAAAATTATTGTCTTATAGGTTTATTAATTTCACAGAATAAATAGTTACATATGAGAAATATTAGCTCTTTCTTAATTTCACGAAAAAAATATTGTAAAACAATAGAGTTATTAACACTTTTTATCGATCAGTTCAATATATTCAAAGCGTATATTGATCAGCGATTGAGAAAACGGTACAGTAATTTTTTTGTTGCTAACAACTATTTTTTTAAATGTTTATTTTAGATTTTCATTATTACAATGCATTAGTTTAGTGTCTCAAAGGTCTCCAAATGTAAACAAAATATGGCAAATAACAAAAAAGTTATGATCATTTTTATCTCATCCAGTCAATCATCATGTCATTGGTGTAACCCGAATTAAAGAAATAATATAATTCGAAATGATTAGATTTGCGTTTTATAAAGTAATTTTACTGTTCAGTGGCATATTTCAGTAGTTTTGTTGTAATTTGTGTAGTTCTATGGTACATTTTGAGTGTTCTGTGGTATTCTGTGGTGTTCTGTGGTAAAAAGACGCTCCGCCCTTACTTGGCCCTAGACAGTTGCTTATCTGTTTATCGTTCTGTCACTGGCTTTTTTTTAGATTAGAGACTTCATGTGTACAAACCTGACGTCAAACTCCTGTACTATATATAAAAGAAGAGACAAATAATTTCACATTAAATCCTGTAACATTACATCTAAAGATAATTATAATCCAAAGTAAATTATATTACGATGTCAATGGACTAATTTCCCGCGCAAATGTCATCACTGGGATAGACTAAAACGAATTTTAGGTTTATGTATCATTCACATTCCGATCAATTTACTCAGTTAAATAAAATATATGTGTTAACTATTTTTATATTGGTTTTGAATTTAGTTAATCTATCAGAAAAAAGGATTTATTTCTCGCAGATAGCCCTCAATACTATACACCAACTCGACACTGAAGCTAAAAAACCCTAAAACATAATGGTATATGGAATCGTCCAAACGGATTACCTATAATATTGATATACTAGGTGAAATATGTAGATTCAGAATTGTGTACACAGAAATAAGATCAGAAATAAAGCCCTATGTAAGGTGAAAACAATAACACAACTGTATAAAATCATTGTTTATTAAATTTGCTTGCATAAGAACCATGAAGTTAAAATTTATAACGATTACGTTTATCCTGTCAACCCCTTTTCTTCATTGCATCAAGGCTTCCGTTGCTTTACATCGAGCAGCAATTCAACCAATCGGGGAATGTTAAGTTGGGACATACCTCTATTTTTGGAAGCGTGATCTTTACATCGAGGCTTGCGTTGCTTTACACCGAGGCCACAGTAGTTCGACCAATCGGGGAATGTTTATTTGGGGCATGTGACCTATTGAACTGCAGGTTTTATAATATTTTAATCGAAATTGTAGAAAAATGAAATGTTGTTAGTACATGCAAAACAGAAAATGATGAATACTTTTAGTAAAAGATAATTTGGATCCGGGTTCTGTGTATTCACATCATTTGTACAACTCTCCTTACTGATGCCATTTTTTGGAATTTCTGTGACCTAAATGGTTCGCGAAAATTAATATTTTATTATATATATATAGTAAAAAAAGAATAAATATAATAGAGGACAATGGCTAAACACTAGATTATTAGACGATAAAAATTTTTGTATAGCTCGTAACTTTCAGAGGTTTGCCCACAACTCCATTTTCCAGTATATCCTTGCGCCACTGCGTAGTAGCAATTTAAAGAGTAATACATGCATAGAGATTGTATGGGCAACGTTGTTGTATTGTTTGGATAATCTGAAAATTAAGTTAGTGTACAGGACCGTTTGTTGAAGTAGAAAAAGAAAGATTAATATCAAATAATAGCCACGACTTGAATTTCACTACTGACCCTAACTATGAATGTCATTGGTAATATTCATGAATAGACGTGTGTTGTTTAGGTCAACACTACAGGGTTCTGTTTTATTTTAAAATGAAACACAAACTTTCGTATGTATTAGTGCATCGCTTTCATTTTGATTCGGTTATAATATAATGTAGCAAACTCATAAATAATTCGTGACATAATATGTGACACAAATTACCCGTATGTTCGCTGTAATGAAACAAACCCATTTTAAAAATTTTTTTTTTTTGTGGATGGAACATTATTTTTTTTCTGCAGCTTTACTAATTTATTTATAAGTAATTCATTTTCAATTCTGCACAGTATTATATCTTGCATTTTTGTTGCAGAATATTAATTTTCACCCTGTCTTGGTCAAGATTATTCATTTTCACCCCGTCTTGGTCAAGATTAGTAATTTTCACCCTGTCTTGGTCAAGATTAGTAATTTTCACCCTGTCTTGGTCAAGATTATTCATTTTCAGTTGTAGGATTTGAACTGATTATAAGTCACCACTAAGATTTTGAAAACTTATTATATTTTTCGCCTTCCTTATAAAAGATCAACCCCCGGGTTATCAGCTTTCTGGCACATACTTTATATCCATCATAACAGGTGACAAAATCCAAATGTATATTGTATTTTGGAGTATCTATTTTCCCTATTTGTATTTTGGTAAGTGCTTGTGCCTTCCACTCGAAATTTAAAGTTTACACGTTTAACATGTTTAGAAGTAAAATAACAAAAATATCCAAGGAAAATTCAAAACGGAAAGTCCCTTAACAAATGGCAAAATCAAAAGCTCAAACACACCAAACGAATGAAAAACAACTGTACTATTCCTGACTTGGTACAGGCATTTCCTTATGTACAAAAAGGTGGATTAAACCTGGTTTTATAGCTAGGTAAACATCTCACCTGTATGACAGTTGCATTAAATTCCATCATATTGACAACAAAAATGTGAAAAAAAAACAAAAACAAACATAATAACTGATGTTCAGTGGTTGTCGTTTGTTGATGTGGTTCATAATTGTTTCTCGTTTCTCGTTTTTTATATAGATTAGACCGTTGGTTTTCCTGTTTGAATGGTTTTACACTAGTCATTTTTTGGGGCCCTTTATAGCTTGCTGTTTGGTGTGAGCCAAGGCTCTGTGTTGAAGGCCGTACTTTGACCTACTGTTACAAATTGTGACTTGGATGGAGAGTTGTCTCATTGGCACTCATACCACATCTTTTTATATCTATGATAGTTAAAAATGTAAAAAATTGGGGTACAGCAGTCAACATTGTGTCATAATCTTAATCACTATAAAAACTATGTCAACGGACATTTGACGCCCCATATAGAACTGGTTCTGAAAGTAACAGAGGGCTTTGTTGAACAGAGTAAGAAATATTGTCTATTTGGATAAACGAAGAAGGATTGCAATATAATTCATTTGACAGCATCAACATATATCTATTCATTGGCCTTCTTCCCACACCCACATGTACGATTTAATATTAATCACTCATAATTAAATGTTGGAACATTTTTATCATAAAAGGGCTCCTTGATGCTTAGAATAAGCTTGCCTTCCGCCGATTTAAAGTTTATGTTCATGTTTCATAATATACGTATATGCATGAACATACTTTTACTTTAAGGTTTAAGTGCTGCCAAAGAAAGACCGTTAGAAATTGTCAGTTTCGATAGTCAGAAAATTGGTTCTCACTACAAAGATGGTGCTACCACTGGTTGTATTAATATGGATCTTCTTACAACCATCATATGCTCAAGGTAAGTCATACTAAAAGCATCATATTTAGTGTTTGTGTGTATATATGTAGGGAGAAGGCGTACTTGATGCTTGTCGATGGCCAAGATTTTGACAATTTCAATTTATAACAAGAAGTCACCCAGTTTGATTACAATTTAGATCTATGGTGATTTGCTATTGTTGAAGCATAAGCAAATGACCGATAAGTCTCAATTGCTTCAAGTTTGAATTGTTAACTATTTTTAACGATAGAGAAGTCACGTGTTAAAAAAATGTACACAAACATTTTATAGAAATTGATTTTTTTTAGATTAACCGGTTATTTTTTAATAATAGAAAGGAAAACTGACACTTCATCATAGCCGTTGTTTTTGTGTCATTACAATCTTCACTGGGTTGTTACCTTTGGTCTTCTTTTAGTTCTGGTGTGTGCTATCCGTCCAGTGGCCATGGCTTTGTTAGGTCGTATGTTAAGTGGTGCATTTTGTTTGAATTTCAAGATCCAAAATAATGTGACCGTTCTAAAAGCTGTCAGACAGACTTGCATGTTCTGTTTATGTCCCTTTGTATATTCTCTAAACGTTTGGAATATTTGGCTTTTCAAACTTCAAATGGTCTCGAGCGTTTATCTGATGAAGTATATTCCGGAAACACGTATAGTTAGCGTGCTATGCGCCTAACTTGGTATCTTCATCCTTTTACTCAATCGGTATTACTGTTGGTGGACTCTGCTATGAAGGGAACCTTCCGCTGCCGTACACATAGCTTCAACACTTATTAGATATTTAACTTTCCGCGCCCCAGTAGTACAATTTTTGGCACTTGTTATTAAATATTACACTTCGTTTATGAATTGACAGATCATTATTTTTGACAATTGTACTTCATCAAGCAAAATGTGCCTTTATTACATGCTATAATTTTTTTTGTTTAGGCACTTTTGAATTCTTAATCGGCTGCGCTAGGAAGGTACTTCTTTAGCTCAGTTGGTTAGAGCTGCTCTGAATGGAACACAGAGCTCTCTGGTTTGAATCAGAAGTGACGATTTGTAACCTTTTGATGAGATTCATGCTCTCCAATTAAATATATTGGTCTTTCCAAACTTTTGGTCTCAAGTGTTACTGATAAGGGTTGAAATAATAATAATAAAGCTTTTTTAAAGCTGGGGTGATTTAAAAAAAATATACATAAGATATTCTCTACAGCACATATGCTTTTGGAATGACTTGTAAGAATTAACAAATATGCAGTTTGATATTAATTGTCGAAATGCGCATTTGGTGCATTAAAATTGGTACCGTTTATGTATTTACTACCACTGGGTCGATACCTCTGCTGTTGGACTGTTAGTATCACCAGCCCAGTAGCCAGTACTTCGGTACTGGCATGAAAAACGGATATTGTTTGATTAAAATTTGCTGTTATAAAATTTTGAAAATTATTCTAAGTTAAGGAATATATCTCCATCATTCAAAGCTCTGTTTCCTTGTCCTGATTTGGCTACATTTTAGGTCCTTGTTGGTTTTATCTGCTCTTCAACATTTGTATTAGATATTGGATATTTAAATATTGTGGCCTTGATCATCACTGAAGAGACAATAATTGTCGAAATGCGCATCTTGTGCATTAACATTGGTACCGTTTATGTTATTATTCAAAACAAGTAGAGAGCGCTATAATTATAGATGGTAACATACGCAATAAGAGTTGATATAGCTAAACACATGTAAAACAAGCTGGTGTAAAAATAAGTCACATAAAAGCTGGTATAATAAGCATACAATTTAAAAACATTAAAGATGGATATATTATGACATACGCTGGTAAAAAGACAACAATAACAAGAACAACATAAAAAAGCTTATGCACTTACACTCGTCAACTTCAAAATTTTTTTAAACTAAATAGCATTTTTTTTTATCTCAAAAGGCATCAGGTAGATCATTCTATAACGCAGATTCTTCTTTATTGAATTTCTTTACCATAGGTTGCTCTGATTCAATTAAGCCATGGTTATGATTATCATAATAAGATTAAAAAACAATCAGAAGCCTTGTAATTTTAATCTTGAACTATATATATTTACTTATTTTCATTCGACTTTCTTACAAAATTGCGACATTTGTTCTGTATGCATTCGAATTTCTGTTTGTTTTGTATCGGTTTTTTAAATTTGGATCGTAACATTTGCTTATGAAAAGAGCTATTTTTAACTCTTAATTCGAATCATATATGATCATATATGCCAGAAGTCTTTTTTATGTATTCCGGGTTGATTTCATCGGTGCATCCATGATAATTAATCAGTTCAGAAACATACAATAAATAGAAGTATGAAATCGGTTTTATACATTTTTGATACGTAACCGTTCAAGCAAATATTTTGGCATATCAGAACAAGCTACAAATTTAATTGATTGATGTTTAATGCCACGTTCAGCACTATTTGCTATTTCGTGGCTGCCAGTTTTTATTACTTATAACATTAGTCGAACGTACCTGTCACGTGCGGGATTCGAACTCACACCCTTAGTGTTAATAATAGCGATACAAATCGGATAAATTCTTTTCAATTTAATCAGACACAAACAGTTATACTAGGTAACTATTCCTCTGACAAAATACCAGTGAGCAGCAGGATATGTATTTTCCAAATACATATACACTGAAAGTATAAAGTATTACAAGTAACACTTCTATTGGCAGCATTACAAGAAGGAAGACTTAAAAGTAGAATGAACAATAATGAAATTTCTATCCCATATGATGACATCCTGATTAAAAGCGAAGAAACACCAGGTCTGATAACGAACAAACATACAGATAAATCCGATGCGGCAAAGACAGTTCTCTTTCTTTTGACTAGTGATTAATTACCTGAACAAATTAGTTGTGGTGCTGCAGTTTATTGCTAATAGCATGCAGGACCACTACTGACTGTTTCAAGAAGAAATTCCTTGATACTTACCCATACCTACATGATTGGTGTTTAATGCCACTTTCAACACTATAGTGTTATTTTGTGACTGTCAGTTTTTATCGGTGGAGGAAGCCGGAAAGCCCGAAGAGAACCATCGACCTTGGGTAGAAAACTGACAGTACACACTATACTTATATATGGCAAAAAATATCTCAAACACAATTTTACAATTGCCGATCGCCCACAAGACTAGAAGGACACCGGATTTTATTATAATCTATCATTAATACACATACTAATTTTATGCAAATAATATCTATATACATATAAACAATATTCAAGCTTTCAATACGAATTAAAAAAAAAATTACTCTGTCATAAACGAACCCGCCGGCCAGGAAAAACCAACAACCAAGTTACCTTAGTCGATATGGAAACCTGTGTCCAAACCCTAATGCTCGGAAGATCGTCTCGAGAGGTGTACATTGGACAGTACTGAAAATTGGCTTATGTTTACATAAACAAAATACAACAAAATGTATACTGTTAAGCAATATACCTATATATAGTACAAAATAAGAAAGAATCAAACAATAATGAACCAACATTATATCTGAACTTGACCAGTTCGAAGTTGGCGAGAGAATGGTCTAATTGGGAAATTAACCCGCGAAAAATGACCACTCACGTGATACTACAATTAATATCACGTGTCCATACATATATATGAAAGAACCGTTAGTACAATAATTTTCTTCTATACTTCGAAACGCAGAAAATTATAAGTACACACTATACTTATATATGGCAAAAATATCTCAAACACAATTTTACAATTGCCGATCGCCCACAAGACTAGAGAACTCAAAGAAAGGGCTGAAACGAAAAAATGTTATGTCTATAAACCTAAATTCTTAGAAACTGAAATTCTATTATCAAACGAATCTGCAATGTATCCGTCTTTACTTAAATCAGATTTCCAACGCCCATGCCTCTTTATACATCTCTCATTAACATCTGACTTAGCTGCAGCCGAAGCACCACCTGAACGTAATGAGTGTAAACCTAAGTTAAGCTGAGGAGCAACCATTTTTAACCTTTTAACGATATTTTGCCTGGCCGCTGTATAACTAAGTTTCTTATTCTTATAAATTAACTTAGCTGTACCACCCGATCTAAACATGGGTCTGAAAACAAAATGATCAGAATGAACGTCCAAACCAGATAAACCCAAATAACGCTTATACATCAGAAGGGGACATGCTTGAGAACTCCCTTTAGAAATCAAAATTTCGTTGCCTTGTCTATATTGATCAGTTTTGCTATGTGACAAAAAAATAGACATGTATTCATCATATATCTTAATGTCCTTACAAGTTAATGAACTTAATTCGTCAAAACGTAAAAAACCTGCATATATAAGCTATAAGTATCATAGCCAAATCCCTAATCACTAATAAGTCACTAGAATCCTGATATATAGTACATAGTTCTATAAGCATAATGTTGTCAACTGGATCTTTTTTCACGACTGGTTTACCGTTCAGCCTTTTGCAAGATTCTAATAGAAATGTAATGAATGAATTGCTTGTAGGGTCTATGTAACCGTTTAATTCGTGAGCCCATTTTATAGAATAAATTGCGGACTGCAATACACTTGGTGAAGAATGTTTATCAATAAGAAATGTTAAATATAACGCTACATGTACAGGTTCGGCTGGTAAATCAGAAAAACCATGTTCAGTAATGAATGACTTCCAACGATTAAAGCCGGCGAAGTACTTCTTTGACGTATTTTCACTTTTCGAATCAACTATATACAAAGCCATCTTTCCTGCCAAAGATCTCAACACATTGTTTTCTCCAACACCACTGCTCACAACGGCATTCTCAACGTTCTGTCTCAGTTTTAAACCTAAAAAACGCAAAAATCCTTATTAAAATTTGATAACTAAAGCAATCATGCTAAATCTTAGAGGATTTTCACAAAAAATCCCATTTTTTCCGGTACCCCTTACTATAATGTTGTCTCTAGGCAAATAAATAACCTCTTGTATAAAATCTCTAAATCCGCCGTCTTTATATAAAAGTGGCCAATAA